GGCTCAGTGGGTTAAGCCGCTGCCTTCGGCTCAGGTCATGATCTCAGGGTCCTGGGATCGAGTCCCGCATCGGGCTCTCTGCTTGGCAGGGAGCCTGCTTCCCTCCCTCTCTCTGCCTGCCTCTCTGCCTACTTGTGATCTCTCTCTGTCAAATAAATAAATAAAATCTTTAAAAAAAAAAAAAGAAAAGAAAAAGCAGAAAAGTTAAACTTAATGTTCAAATTTATATAACTGTAGTCCCAATATAGTTTCCTTTTTTTTTTTTAAGATTTATTTATTTATTTGACAGAGAGAGAGAGAGAGAGAGGGACAGAGCACAAGCAGGGGGAGCAGCAGGCAGAGGGAGAAGGAGCAGGTTTCTCTGCTAGCAGGGAGCCCGATGCAGGGCTTGATCCAAGGACTCTGGAATCATGACCTGAGCAGAAGACAGACGTTTGACTGAGCTACCCAGGTGCCCCCAATATAGTTTCTGTACTTGAAATGGCTTTAGGCCACCTGCTGATGCCTCTGAGGTCCGGATTATCTGGTCCGTTTTCAACTGGCAATTCCATGTTCCTATGTCTGTTCAGATGCCAAGGGAGCTGAGGTTCAGCTCATAATCTTTTGGAATGTTTCGAGATTATTGCCACCCCTCCACAGTCAAGCTGACCAACTTCTTTTGCTGACTTGTATCATTCTCGTCTTTAAAAAATTTTTTTCTCATAAACATGTGCAGTAATTCTAATAAAGGGTTTGCTTTTTACCCAATAGAGGAGGTTAGCTTTTTTTTTTTTAAGATTTTATTTTATTATTTTTTTAAGATTTTATTTATTTATTTGACAGACAGAGATCTCAAGTAGGCAGAGAGGCAGGCAGAGAGAGAGAGGAGGAAGCAGGCTCCCCGCCGAGCAGAGATCCCGATGTGGGGCTTGATCCCAGGACCCTGGGATCATGACCTGAGCTGAAGGCAGAGGCTTTAACCCGCTGAGCAACTCAGGTGCCCCTTAAGATTTTATTTTTAAGTCATCTCTACACCCAACGTGAGGCTCGAACCCTCAACCCCGAGATCAAGAGTTGCATGCTCTGCTGATTGAGCCAGCCAGGTGTCCCCAGGTTAGCTTCTTTTTGATGCTGGGAACTAAACCCTATCCCAGGACCCTTACAGGATTGTTACTGCCGTAGGCAATGTCATGCTTTTAAATTCAGCTTATGAAAGTCTTTATTCTTTTTATAAATCCGGGTAGGATTGCCAGATAAAACACAGGATAGGATGTCCAATTAAATTTGAATTATCTAAAAGTCAAATTTACCTAGGGGTGCCTGGGCGGCTCAATCAATTAAGCGTCTGACTCCTGATTTTGGTTCAGATCATGATCTCAGGGTCCTGGGATTGAGCCCCGAGTCGGGCTCTGCAGGGAGTCTGCTTGAGATTCTCTATCTCCCTCCCCCTGCTTGCTCTGTCTCTCTCTAAAATAAATAAATGAATATTAAAAAAAAAAAAGCAAATTTACCTAGTGCCCTGTATTTTTATTTGCTAAATCTAACGAGCCCTACATTCAGCAAACTTAAATAATTGCTTTTAAGGGGTTATAGACCCATTTACAAACAACTTAAACTACTTTTATACATTTAATATACCCCATTTCCTTGTAAATGACTTTAGTGTCTGAACTAATAAAAAAGCCACCTTTTAAAATGCTAAGTAATTCTCTTCTTTTTTAAAGAATTTCTTTGTTTTTAAGTAGTCTCTACACCCAACGTGGGGCTTGAACCCACAACGCCGAGATCAAGAGTTCCATGCTCTACTAACTGAGCCTGCCAGGCACCCCTAAATACTAAGTAATTTTAATAAATTAAACTTACAAAACACTGTTAACTCCACATTCTTATAAATGTTCTAGATCCGTGCATGAATTCAGAAAGGCTTCAACGTAAAACCACAACTCTAAATCGATCCCTCTAACTCCACAATTGATGTTAGAGTTACAAGATTGTCAGTTAAATAGTCCAAATCTCTCGTATGTTACAAGTTCATGAAATGCGCATATGTACAAATTCCTTAAGAGGCTCGAAAATCATGGACGGCACTCAATTCTAAATCTTCCTCCGGCTGGGAGAGGCCGATTTGCCTAGGAAGGCAATCAACACCCTTTTCCCTCGAGATTCAGAGAAGCCTGTTGTTGGCACCAGGGATCAGCCTGTCACCAGGAGCTCAGGAAACCATTATTTCCTTCCATGTACTATTTGGGGTTATCTCCTTAGGATGCCTGAGCGTGCTCGGCGAGAGATTTTGGCTAGGATGCTGCCTGGATGTATGTTAGTGATACATGTGTGCTTCTCCCTTTTCCCGCCCATCTCTTCAAGAGGGGGGTGTCCCAGAGATCCCAATGCTGCCTTCCACTTATTCTCATCACCCACCTTCTTCACATAAGAATTTTCCTTGCCAAAGTCTGCATATCTCACCCAGGGCTTAGGACTTGACTGGAATTTGCATTTCGGATCGTCCCGTCTCCATGCCCACCTCTCTAAAACTCATTTTGCTTGGGTTGAAATCCTACAGTTCTTGAAAAACCTTCCTTTCTTCGGGTCATACATCTCTCACAAACATTAAGATCATACCTGATTGAACTGTGATCTCTCCAGGGGCTTTCAATGGCTCTTAGTCCTTCAAGTCCAAGGATATTTTATGGACCCATTCCAGCAGACCACCACTTGCTCTCCCTGGCAACACCCTACTAGCCTTCGGTGTGTTACACTGTAAATGGTAAAACTGCCTATAACATTATGTAAGCAGAGATGACCTTTATGATGCTCACCAGGGCAATTAGAGAGTCAGAGCCTGGGTGTGTCCCGGGACAGCTGACTGCAAAACCCCAGTGAGGACAGAAAGCCTGGCCGGATTTCCCACTGACCCCTGCCTCACCATCCCCTCCACAGAAGCCTTCCTCACCCCAGCTGCCCTCTGGGGTGGACCACTTCCGAGTTATCCATTCTCAGGAAAAGGCACATGGCATGCCACTGCAGGGCTGATAACCAGATGTCACAGCTGGTTCCCGACTGGGATAGGAGAGACTCTGCCGAGGATGGTCCCTCAATTACGCAGGCCAATTTCCGCACCAGAGTGACAAAAACAGGGGCCCCTAAAAGACTAGACCCCTTTCTTCATTTCCTTGGGGAAAGAAACCCATGATCTTCAGTTCCTCAGAGAAGTGAAAGTAGCAACAAGGAATCCAGTCATTCCTGTTATCTGCAGGCTTTATAAGTCAGCTCAGCCCAAGGAGGTGGCCCAGAGCCCTCGCACGCCAGCCACCGCGGTCCTCTCGCTGAATCGGGAGCCCTGCCAGGATGCCCCGGCCGCCCGCCTTCCTGCTGCTTCTCCTCCTCTCCATCAGCAGTGCCCTGGCCCTGAGGCTCTGCTCCTTTAACGTGAGGTCCTTTGGGGAAGCCAAGAAGGAAAACAAGAATGCCATGGACGTCATCATGAAGGTGAGACCCCTTCTTGCCACAGAGAGTGCTGGATCCCCCTCATGCCCTCTCTCTGCCTTCGAACTTCAAGAGACTCCGGAGAAATTTCACCCAAGTTAGTCTCTAGGGGGAAGGTAGCAGCTGCCTTTGCATTCGGTCGCAGTACTGACAGCAATAATGCCAATAACCACATCCCCTCTCCGGGCTTCATGTCATCCTCTGAACATGAGGGGCGTTGGGGATCTACGACAGCTCCTCCCTGTGGGATTGTTTGGGGGGTTGTGTGAGTTGGTAAATGTAAAGCTCCTAAAACACTATCTGGCTCCTAGCAAGCTCCAGGGAAGGGCTGGCTAGTACCATGATTTTTATTACCATTTACTGAATGCCCCCGCCAGGCACCACAAATACATGATTTCATTCCATCACTCTCAAGAAGGAGGGTTATTACCCCCCATGAAGAGATGAACAACAAAAGGTGTAGTGACCTCATGTAGGTGGCGGGTGGGTGGAGGGGGAGCTGAGATGCCAGCCCAGCCTGGTCTTTCTATCTTTTTATCCATCAATACAGCACATATTTCTTTCTTTTCCTTCCCTCCTTTCTTCCATCCTCCCTTCTCTCCCTTCCTTCCTTTTTCTCTTTCCTTCCTATTTCTCTCTCTCTCCTTCCCTCTTCCCCACCTCTCCGTCCTTTTCCACCTTATACCCATCAACCTTTTCCCAACTACCAATTCTAAACTTTCTCTCCACTTAGATAAAACCTCCCTGGGTAGTATGACCAAGGTCCGGAGTGGCTGCTCACGTTTCTCTGGTGTCAACTAACTGTCTTTACCTGACACGTTAACTAATCTCTGATGATGCTGGGAGCTGAAATCTTTTGCAGGACTCTGTCTGGGTATTATCACCTTAGAAAATCCTGTGGGCATCATGGTATGGTGGGAACACCTCGAGCCTTGGGTTCAGATCCTGCCCAGCAGCTGTGTGAGCAAGCTCGGGAATTCCCTTCTCCTCCCTGAGCCTCTGGGCCTTTCAGAAATTGGGCCTTACACAATCCGTGACACTGGTTGGCAGAGAGAACTCAAGGTGTGGAAGGGCTCCAGGAGAGCCTGGGACGGGGCAGATGATCACAAACAGAGCCGCTACTGTTGGGATTAATACACAAAATGGATTAGAACAAGCACTACATGCTCTGTTCTTATTTAGATGGCCCTCTCCCTGGTTGGCCCAGCCCTTTGGATGGCACCCAAGGCCTTCCAGCGGCGGTCATTTAACCAGAACAACCATGCCCAACCTGTGGGAGCCGAGACTCCCTGGCACTACGGGGAGCTCTGACGTGCTGGGAAACTATTTTCCCTGCTTCCTCGCACAAGGGCACATGGAGCCTGGGTACCTATGAGTTCCCTAGTGCCGATCACCTTCCTCACTTATTCTTACCCAGGAAAAGTCATCACAATCTTAAGAGGCTGTCTTTTTGGTTCTTGGAGATTCCATCATTGGGGCCCTATACTTAGCACCTCCCTGGAGCTGCCACGTCCTAGAGAGCCGACTGATGGACAGCGCCCATCACACCAAACACCAAGCACATGGGAAGTCTCTGTCAAGGAATCCTTACCTAACCCCACTGCTGCAAAACCATCCCATAAACAGAGGCCATCCCCAAACACTGCCAAAGCCAAGGAGAGCACTTACAGTGAAACCCGAACCCAGATATTCAGGGCAGTAATATTCACAGGGCCTTGTGTCTGCGCACCTGCTCCCGGCCAGGAATTTTCTTTCTATCTATCTATCTATCTATTTGAGAAACAGAGGGAGAGAGAGAGCAGGAGAGAGGAGCAGAGGGAGAGACAGCCTCCACACTGAGCAGGAAGCCCAATGTGGGTCTCGATCCCAGGACCCTGGGATCACGACCTGATCACGACTTGAGCCAAAGGCAGACACTTAACCAATTGAGCCATCCAGATGCCTCCATATTCTTATTTAATATTATGACATAGGTGGCATTCCCCACACTTTGTAACGGAGAAGGCCGACTCAGAATGGTGAAGTGCCTTACCCAGGATTCCCTAGCAGGCAAGCAGAAGAGCCAGGATCAAATCCAGCCATATGAACCAACCCTATTAGAGAAGATGCCTTTTCCACCCTTCCATACTGGCTTGATCACTTTGGAGATGAGCCCAGCTTCATCATGCTGTTGTCTATGACCTTCATCAGGGAGGTTAAAGAGTGAAGGAGATCTGCCTTCTCCATCTTGGATTTGCTGGCTGGCACCATGGGCAGTTCTCCAGATGCCAAACCCTGCCTGGGCAAGGCTGCTTCTGTCCCATTCCTCAGTTTGTGTCCTTAAAGAGCAAAGTTTGTTCATCCAACAAATACTGAAGGTAGGCCAAGTACTGGATGCTCTGAGGCACTCGGGTTGAGATGGGGGACATGGGAGGCATCGTCTCCCACAGCACATGGTACTTATAATTTTGGGAGTGTTTATTGTTAGCCAGGCCCTTATCAGGCAGCAACCAAGTTCAGCCTCACAACCCCTCTGGTTGCCTTTTGCACATGGGCAAGTGGAGTTCACAGCAGAGAAGGACATAGTCCCTGGTCATGGAGCCACTAAGTGTGAGAGCAGAGGCTGGGACCCTGGCCTAACGGACACTCTCTGGGCTCTGTCCCCTCCTGTACTGTGCTGTTCCCTGTTCAGAGGCACAAAAGACGGCTTCATAGGCTGCTCTTGGCCCCAGAGTCTTCATAAGATTTCTTTAGACTGCCCTTTCCCGTCTTTCCAGGCCCACTCACAGCACAATACTGCTTGCTGGGAACGCTTCACTGCTGGCTGTGTTCAGCCTTTCCTCCCTCCTATCTGTGAAGGGAGTCAGGAAAATCTCGAGTTTCAGGTCTGGAAGGGCCTTCTGGGGGGCCTTCCATCTCTGGAGGCTCATTCTGAGGAGATAGATTCAGGGGAGAAGTATTTTTTCCTGGCCTGAAATGGGGGCAGGGAAAACATGTATCAGTGATAAGATTTGAAAAGTGAGTATTTAATCACTGTGGGGAAAATGCTCAGAACATCACTGAGGCTGAAAAACAAGAACAAAAAAAACCAACCAGACCCAAACTGTGTGATAAACATTGCCCCACTGTTTGCAGAGCTTCTTCTCCAGGCCAGGGACTGGACTGAATGCCTAATACCTATCATATCCTTTAATCCCCATGACATCCCCATGAGGAGGATTTCATCCCAGGTTATAGATGAGGAATCTGGCGGATTCAGGGAGCTTAAGTGACTTGCTCAGGGTCACATAGCTGGTGAGCAATAGAGTCAAGATACGAATCTGAGGCCATTTGATGCTAACTAACAGGAGTTATTTTGATGTCATTTTGTAAATATAAATACAGAAATCATGTGAGAAGTGTCTGGGTGATGGGTTTAAAGGTCATCAGGTGATTTTTTTTTTATAGTCTTTTCTGTATTTTTCAAATTTCTACAATAAGCAACATTATTTTTATAATTAGAAAACTGTTAAAATTATTTTTTAAAGCCCTGGCTAGGAAATTTATTCCCATTTTTCTTATGCTGCCATAAAGAAGAGTTAAACACAGGAAGGTATTTGTGCTTTATAAACTGGGCTCAAATGGCTCCAGTATGGCTCCCTGGGCCTCCTTCCCTCTCTCTCCTTCCCTCCCCTCTCTCTTTCACTCATGCCAGATGCTGTAGAGTTGTGAGTAAAGTAAGGTCATCTGGGACACAGCAGGCCCCTGACAGAATTTTGTTGGATGGATAAACAAGTGAGTGGAGAGATGGGTGGGAGGATGGATGGACTGTTAAAGTTCTAGGATTCGTCCCCAGAAGAACTCCGATGATGAGATCCATCGCTCACTGCGCTGTAGGTTCCAGTCTATAGGAAATTCGTCCAGAGGTTCAGAGGCAAGTACTCAAGGGATATGGCGGTCCACTGGAGTAACTGCTGGAGATGTGGGGCTTTGGAGTGGTTTTTTTTGTGCGGGCAAAAGAGCTGTAAGCAGGGAATCTAAAAGCTCAACCCTTCTGCTCAAGAAATGCAGTCTGAACCCTGGTCCATTTTTGCTCTGCACCTGTGGATGACATTCAAAAGGAGCAATCACAGGAATATGGTGATTACTTTGGCTGTTGAGCAAGTGGTCAAGAGGGGCTCTGTAGCAGATGATCCCATTATCCATATTCACATGATGTTCAGGTTACTTAGCCACGCTGAGGCTGAATGCCCAACTATATATACAGTGGGGATAGTAAGAGGACCTGCATCAAAGGGTTATTATAAATTCAGTGAGTTGATGGTAAGAGCTAACACTTTTTTTTTTTTTAATATTTTACTTATTTATTTGACACAGAGAGAGAGCACAAGCAGGGGAAGAGGCAGGCAGAGGGAGAAGGAGAAGCAGACTCCCTGCCGAGCAGAGAGCCTGGATGCGGGACTGGATCCCAGGACCCTGGGATCATGACCTGAGCCAAAGGCAGAGGCTTAACCAACTGAACCACCCAGGCACTCTGCAGTTTTCTTTTTTAAATAACACTTTTAATTTTTTTAAATTAAGGTATAATTTTTTAAAATATAAATCCAGAATTTTGAAACTAATTTTATTAAGTAAAAAATAGTCATTAGGAACTATTTTGAAAATATAGAAACATATAAAGAAGTGTTATTCTATCACTGGAAGATAAGAACTATTGGCATTTAGGACATTATGAGCATTTTTCTACACAAAAATAAATACATAAATTTGCATCTGTTTTTCAGCACGGAGACTACCCTCTATCATCAGTTTTGTATCCTGCTTTTATATCAGAAGCATTTCACATGCTGTTACTATTTATATATTTATTTTGTTAATAATTCTTTTAAAACATGACTTTTTCAAGCAGGGGAAGGTGCAGAAGGAGAGAGAGAAAATCTTAAGCAGGCTCCACACCCAGCACAGAGCCCAGCATGGGGGTCGATCTCACAGCCATGAAATCATCACCTGAGCCGAAATCAAGAGTCAGACACTCAACAGACTGAGCCATTGAGGGACCCATTCACATGACTCTTAATTCTATATAATGCCCTATGCTATCTTTCATTTAATGGTTTCCTATTCGGGGATACTTGGGTTGTTTCCAATTTTGTTGTTGTCGTTGTTGCGATGTATCTTCCTCTTTGGTCTATACAAGTTATAATAATAGTAGTAATAATTTACTGTGTGCCTCCTATACGGCTGGCACTGCTCCAAGTGCCCATTTAATCCTCCAGCAACCCTGTGAGGGAAGAACTATCATCATTCCAATCTATAGATGAGGACACTGAGATGCAGAGAGGTAGTAGATATCACATTACAATAGGAGACCTTCCTCCAGGTGGGAAAACTAGGCCAAAGGGTAAGTACATTCTCCAAGGCTTTTGATCCATACTTTAAAGAGTATTTTTAAAAAATATTTTACTTATTTTTGAGTAAGGGGCTCAAACTCACAACCCTGAGATCAAGAGTTGCATGCTCCACCAACTGACCCAGTCAGGTGCCCCTAGATTAATGTGCCTTCAAGAAAGGTCTGAGAGTGACAGGTGACTAAACCAGCAGGCTGGCTTGGTGGCCAGACCCAGCTCTCCCTGTATTTCAACATCATCATGGGCTTTGTAGTCACACGATCCTGAATTCAAATCCTGACTCTACCATCTATATACTGGATGTGTGACTTCAAACTTTTCACCCAATCACTCTGAGCCTATTTTCTGCTTATGATTATCTCGTAAGGTTGGTGAGGTTCAGAATTGGATCACAATAAATGTTAGCCCTTGTAATTTTTATTATTATAATTTTGTTGCCAGGTGAACTGGGGAGACCCGTATCCAGCTGTGTCCCTCTCACTTACTAAGAGCTTAATAAATATTTGTAGTTGTTATTGTGATTATTCAAGCAAAGCCAAGATATAGGACACATGATCATGTGATCATAGGCTCTGGATTCAGACTGCTTAGATTTGCCTTCGGTATCGGCCACTTTCTAACTGAGTGACTTTGGGTAGTTTACTTGACTTCCCTGGAGCCCCAGACTCCTCATCTTTACAATGGACTTAACTGGGGTGCCTGGCTGGCTCAATCGGTGGAGGTTGTGACTCTTGATCTCATGACTGTGAGCTTGATTTTCACATTGGCCATAGAGGTTACTTAAAAATAAAAACTTTAATAAAATAAAATAAAATGGACATAACGATATTACCTACCTCAGGAAGTTCCTCTCTTGTTTCAGCAATGAAGTTAATTACATTAACCAAATACGAATCCTATACTTAAAACATAGTGTCCAATAAAAGATTTTATTATGTGTAGATTATTTGCCTGAAGACATCTGGGAATTCTGTCTCTGCAGGTCATCAAACGCTGTGATATCATACTCCTGATGGAAATCAAGGACAGCAACAACAGGATCTGTCCCACCCTCATGGAGAGATTAAATGGGTAAAGACGGGGTGGGGTGGGGGTGGCCTGGACCCTCTGAAGGCTCAAGGTTAAGTGCATGGCTATCTGAAAAGCCCGGGGGAACTGAAACTAGCGTGAAAGCCAGCATTGCCCTGACCACCACGTACATGGCCAACACTGCTCAGGCTTCCAACTCCACTAGCTGCAGTCCTGAGAACTTTCAACTGGCTAGTTTTAATATGATAAAGCAAAATAGAGGAAATGGATGAGGAGCCAAGACAGAGAAACGAAAGAGACAAGAGGTTTTCAGACAAGAGGTTGAAATTAGAACTACTGTCGTAAAGAAAAGAGTGAGTACAAATATGAAGTTAGGATACACCTGCAGGCTGGAATATTACGTAGCCATTAAAAACCATGTTCACTACAGAATATGCTAGAGCTAAATAATCAGCATGGGAAGTCGACTGCAGTCATCTTGAAAGCAATTCAAAAAAGGTTCAGAACTGTAGATAGAGTGGCCCATTTTAGTGATCACATTACTACTATGCCCGACTAAGAGTGTGTTTGAGTTTGCACGGGGATAGAGGAGAGAATGGAAGGATAGGCTCCACACTATTAAGAGTGGTTACTTCTGGGTCAGGGAGGTGGGTGTGATTGCGGGACCACTGTTGGATTTTATATACTTGTCTATGATTTGAATATCTTACAAAAAGCCTAGATTGATTTTATAACTTCAAAAAACCCCAAAAGATAATGTCCTCAAATAATTTATAATTTTGGGTTATAGTTATGATTTACATTCTTTCTCAAAGAATAATCAGCAGACCTAGCCACCTGAAAATCACCCCAAAGTGAGTTAAAAAGGCACATTCCAGAACTTCCAGGCTATTGAACGAGAATGTCTGCGGGATCCCTGAGAGTGATCTTCATCTAAGTAGCCTTTCCGGGTGATTCTGACGCACTCCAATTTAAAAAAAAAAAATTTTTTTTTAAGATGTTATTTATTTATTTGACATAGAGTGAGATCACAAGTAGGCAGAGTGGCAGGCAGAGAGAGAGGAGGAAGCAGGCTCCCTGCTGAGCAGAGAGCCCGACGTGGTGCTCAATCCCAGGCCCGGAGATCATGACCTGAGCTGAAGGCAGAGGCTTAACCCACTGAACCACCCAGGCGCCCCAATTTTTTAAAAACTTCTAATATAATGTTTCTTTTGTACATACATGATAAGATTACACCACAAACTAGAACATATGATAATATGTACCAAGTAGTTCAATTATGTCAAAAGAAAAACAAAACAAGAAACATTTAAAAGATTCAAAAGCGGTGAATCAAACAGCTGACAACAGCTATCTCAGAGCAAAAATTACAAGGAATTTAAATATGATGTCTTCTATATATTGTCTGTATTTTCCAAGATTTCTACAATGAGAATGTTATATGCCCTTTCCTTTTTCTTATGATGTATTTTAAACATTCTTAAGAGCACAGAGAAAATGCTAAGAACCATGTAATCTACCATCCAGTACATCTGGCCATTGTTACACTTTTATAATTAAGGAAACTCATGTTAAAAAAAAATAAATAAATGATCAATCCAGCCTCGTTAAGCCCAGCATGAACAGCCTTGGACACTCTCGTTCACAGAGGCCTCTTGGGCTGGCTCCACCCCCCTCTGGGCCTCAGTTTCTCCTCTAAAAATATGCTTTACCCTCAGCAGCTCTTCTGGTTCCAGATCTGATCTTTGACGATAGGAAAGGGAGTTTAGCACAAGGGTTAGGCACCTACGCTAGTCTCAGACCACTTGTGTTTGGATCTTGGCTCTACTATGCCTTTGAGCAAGTTATTCAACCTCTTCATACCTCATTTTCCCTATATACAAAATGGGGCTAATAATGGAACCCATCTTCCTGGGATGTGGCTGTGATTAAATCCTGCATGTAAGTGGTTGCACTGTGCCTGGCATGTAGCAGGGATCAGTAAGTGCTGGTGGAGTCTATTACTAGTAAAAGGAAGAAAATTACGATGGCAGATGATGGTCCAGAGGGTATCATCGATAACCCTAACTACATGCTAGACATCCTGTTAATCCATTTATGTGCACTATTTCATTTACTCCCACAACTCTGTGGGGTTGGTACTTTTACTGCTTCCCTTATAGCTGGGGGAACTGAGACTCAGAGAGGAGGGATCTGGCCAAGATCACCCAGCCAGTAAACGCTGGAGCTTACCTTTGTAACTGGGTCATGTCTGACTCCAAAGCCGGTGCTCTATTCTGAACCTCCTCAGCCTCCCACAGAGGGGATCTGGTCAGTTTTCAGAAGCATGAGAGGACAGGGGGCTCCAGGTGCCTCCCCAGAGCATCCTGGGTCAGGTCTTCCCACCCCTATTGCTGTCAGTTCTCCCCGACTTCCCTAGACTATGCCATGGATTCCAGGCAGAGGCAGGCCTGTTTGTCCCCTTAACCCCCGTAAGCCAGGAGGGGCCTTAATCGCCTCACAGCTGAGTCATTGTGAGCAGTCTGCCAACCCAAAATTTGGCAGGCGAGATTCAGAACAAGGCCAGTCTTCCCAAACTGGAAACCCAGTGGAATCTACTGTCCACACTTCTTGGGCCCCAGTAGCCGGACCTGCCGTAGAAGATGTATCTAGCATGCTCCGGAATTTCTGTAGGGCCTCAGTGGGCTCCCAATCTGCTATTTTCCAGCAGAACCTAAGAAAATGCCACAGCTTAGATATGCCCTAGATCTTTCTGTGTGCGAATGAAGTAAAACTGTGTCAGGCCCTGCCCTGGGTGGAGTTATCAACAGGTTTGGCAAACACACGGGGAGTCCATTTCCCTGGTATGAATGAGTGGTAAGGTAATGGGACTTCACAGCTATATCTCTAGCCCCCAGGACATAAACAATAGCTGACTTGTGAGAAAATGTTTGGGAGTTTTCAGAGCAGGAGTGAACATCCAATGAAAATGGTACTGGGGGGGTACCTGAGTGGCTCAGTGGGTTAAAGCCTCTGCCTTCGGCTCAGGTCATGATCTCAGGGTCCTGGGATCAAGCCCCGAATCAGGCTCTCTGCTCGGTGGGGAGCCTGCTTCCCGCGCTCTCTCTGCCTGCCTCTCTGCCTATTTGTGATCTCTCTCTCTGTTGAATAAATAAATAACATCTTAAAAAGAAAAGAAAAGAAAAGAAAATGGTACTAGGAATTCTGCCTTTGAGAAATGTTCAGGAGTAGTGCAGGGACACGGTGACCTGATAAGGTTTACTCCACCTGGGAGTATGAGGTCAGCCCCAGCCATGAACCAGAGTGGGATCTGGGACTGATCTGGCCTTAATCTTCTATGGTCTCAATAATGTCCCATAGGTACAGGCCAAAGCCTGTGGATTTGGGGTATATAGGATCTGAGCTCAAATCCCAGCTTTGTACCTGCAAACTATAAAAAATGGGTAACAATACTACCCACCTCCTAAGGGCAAGAGATAATAGTCTGTAAAGATCCTGAGAGATGTCACATTCCTAGTCGATGGTGGCTCTTCTTATTAGACTCCAAGGTTATGACGAATGGCAGCCTTTCTCCACGATACCCTTGGCAATACGGATACAGATTGAAGAGGGGAGTTTGCAGTAGAGGAATGCTTATTTTTAAAGATGCAATGTAAAATCTTTATGTTTTCTAGAAACTCAAGAAGACATATAATCTACAACTATGTGATTAGCTCTCGACTTGGAAGAAACACATATAAAGAACAGTATGCCTTTCTCTACAAGTAAGTATAGTCTCGGCTTCCTGGGACATGATTCACTTCTAAATGAGGACTGTGATTTGAATCAAAATGCATTTCTTTTTTTCAAAACCAAATTTGGATCTCTAATGACCTCTAACCAGTTCTCAATATCAAATAATATCAAAATATCAAACTAAGTACTGTCGAATTGAGGCTGAAGCAAAGCATTATCTCCTCAAAGTAAAAGCACACGCAGCTTCCTGACCTCGAATTTGCTGGTTGGTTCAGTGGTTGCCTGGTCTGGAGGGTCAGTTCTTTATCCTTCACAGTCAAGTTCCAGCCCAGGGTTGGAAACCTGAGCTGCCCAGCATGGCTGACTCCGAAACTTCAGTGTTGTCTTCTTCTTACCAGTAACTGTGTTCTAAGTCTGAACGTTAACTTGTGGCTGCCCCAGAGAACTGGTGCTGTTCTGGTCTCCAGCTTTCAAACGGCTCTGGCCATTGAGAAGAGCTGACGGAAACTTGTTCTCGAGGGAAAGATCCCTTGCAGGGCAAGAGCCTGTCTGGGGGGCCGATAAAGCCACGGGCTATGTCTCTGCTTCTTGAATGAGGTTAAGAAGACAACTGAATCAGCTGGAAGGGCCTCCTTTTTTTTTTTATTTCTAGGGAAAAGCTAGTGTCTGTGAAGAAACGCTACCTCTACCATGACTATCAGGCTGGTGACGCAGATGTGTTTTCCAGAGAACCCTTTGTGGTCTGGTTCCAGTCACCCCACACCGGTGAGATCCACAGGCCCCTCCTGCTCATGACTTTCCTGTGATCCCACGAAGGGACAGTAGCCCCGAGTGTGAGCGGGGGTCCCAGGGTTTGCACAGCATCGTTAGGGAGACATTAGACTTGAGATGGCTATTAAGAACGTCTAATATTTGAATGTTGAGGAGGTAGCCTGGCTTCTCAGAATGCCATGACTCAAGACCTCCTCAGCCTGGAACTCACCTTCAGAAATCAGTGATAACTCCACTCTCTGAGCTTTTAGGCTGATGGAAATTATTTACCATGATATTTTTCAGTCCCAATCAAATACAACTTCATTTAAAAAAAAAAGTCCCAGCGATGGCTAGCAGAGACGAACCCCCAACCTAGAGTCTCCCTCTCCCTCCCCCTCCAATCTCCTCCACAGACTGCCTATAGAGAGGAAATCCAAACGACTACACATCTGAACTCTGACAACTACACTTGTATAAGCCACTAACAATTATAGATCCCTGACTAGTGCCAGGTTCCTGTAATCCTTGCAACACCCAGCAGGGGAGGACCTAGGATTATCTGCACTTTACATTTGAGGAAGCCAAGGTTCAAACAGGTGGAATCACTGGCCCAAGGTCACTCACTCAGTAGTTGGAACCCAAGCCACTATCTTGGGTGCCCACACTCTTAACCACTGTGCATATCTAACTGCAAAGTCAATAATTAATTTGGTTTGCAGATTGGAGCTATATGAATCAAATTTTTTTTTCAGTGCCTACAATGTTCTGTTCCAGGCACTGGACAGTCAGGCAGACAGGTCCTGTCCTAGGGAAGTTATGTTGTAGTGGACAAGACAGACACTGACCAAATAAATATCCATAGAACTGTATGTATATACAGCTGCATATATATTACACAAATATAAACAGCCTGAAGGAGGAACATAACTATTTCTGCCCTGGCTTTGTGAGTACTTCGGGAAAACAAACATGGAAGAATGGTGGTAGAAATTTCCAGTAGAAAAAGAGAAGGAGGTGGGGGCTGTTTAGGGCAGAAATGCACTTCAGAGAGCAGGTGTAATAATCACCTTTGTCAGACACACAATTCCCATTTGGCTGACCAGTGTTTGCAGAGCACCCCGCCCCCTCTTCTCGAATAGAGTCTTCAGCGACACATAGCTAAACATGACTAAACAAACCTGTTTATCTTGAGCATCTACCTTTCCTCCTTTCTCTAACTCTCCTCCCAGAGGATGGCATCGCAGCCATGCCCTGTTTGAAATTCTCTCTCTTGTACAAGGAAACATCCTTATGTCCCCTCTGAGATTAAAGATAGAGTTAGCCATTTGTTTATCATTTTTTCCCTTTATTCACTTACTTTTTTCCTTTGTATCATTTAGCCATTCATTTATCATTTTTTCCCTTTATTCATTTACTCATTCATTCATTCAATCATAAACTCAATCAACAAACATTTTTTAGTCCCTCCCATGGGCCAGGTACTGTGCTAAGTGCTGGAGCCAAGCCAATGAGCAAGACAGAGCCAAGGTTCCAGTGGGAAAAACTAAGAAGCACAGCAAGTAACTTCAGAGCAGGAAGGAAGTAAAAGCAGGGTACATTCCACAGTGGGGTGAGGGGCCTGCCTTAGATGGGGCAGGCTACAGATGGCCTCTTCAGGGTGACATGGGGTGTGACCTGAAGAAGCCAGTCACTGAGGGCTAAGGCAAGGGCCTTTCCAGGGGGAGGTCCCAGTGAGCACACACAGACTCGGAGGTGGGAAAAGGGTAGGGGTGTTTAGGGGGCCAAAGAGAGGATGGGGAATGGAGTGGAGGCCAGAGGAGGAGAGTGGGAGACACGGCTGGTGGGTGTGGGGTTGTGGAGACAGGCTTCCGGATCTGAGTCCTGACTCCCCACTGTGTGACTTGAGCAGTGATTCCCCACCAGCCCTCAGCTCCTGAGTACGAGTGGGGACCCAGGCACTGGGCAAGGGAACGCCCGGGGAAGAGGCCCTCAGAATACGCCAGCTGCCACCTGCAGGTGGGCAAGGCACGGCTCCCAAGCTCACCCACATTCCCGGATCCAGGCTCGCTCAGTCCCTCCTGGTGGGGAGGTTTTCAGCAATTTCACAAAGGCTGTTTTAAAAAATACATAATTTTAGAGGGTTTTTTTTTTCCAGATTACAAAAGAAACGTAAACTGAGAAGCCTCAATTTTTTTAACAAGAAAAAACTTTTTTCTTCCGTACAAAAGCCAGAGAGACTTCTTATTTTTTAAAAAGTGGAAAATACCATTTTTCAAAAAATGAGAAAATAAAAACACCCACAATGTCAGCAAGGAGTCCTGATTACCAGCTTTCTCTTGGCCGGGCAGGTGAATGGGTGAAAAAAGAGGCTTTCATGCGCTGAGAACAGCAGCCCAATGGGCCCAACAACATTCACAACTCAGCCACTGGCTGGCTGGCCCCTCCAGAAATGAGAGGACCCAGGCAGTGCAGTCTGGGCCTTCCGGAAGGACAGCCTGTTTCTCTCCAGCAGTGTTCCCTGAACCTGCTCCTGTTCAGGAAAGTGTGCGCGTGACCTCCGCCTCTTTCCTGTTCCTCAGCTGTCAAGGACTTCGTGATTGTCCCCCTGCACACCACCCCTGAGACCTCCGTGAAAGAGATTGATGAGCTCGCTGATGTCTACTGGGATGTGAAACGCCGCTGGAAGGCAGAGGTGATGACACTCTGTGTCTGCTGAACTCCCCTCTAGCAGAGGCAGAATCCGGTTCTGGGAAGGGATGAGTGACTCCCCGGGAGAGCGAGGCGGACAGGACATGTGGAGCACAGCACCCTGTTAGAGCCTCATTTTAGGCCTTATCTCGGCCTTAAATATCCTTCTTGCTAAATCTGCCTGGGTCCCGACCACGTGGGGCTCGGCAATTCATACTCCGCTCCACTAATAATGGCTGCCCCAAATTACGAATAGTGGGAGCCGGGCCTTATGCTGAGGCTGGACATGGACAAGTCAATTTAATCCTCCCAATAACCCCACGATTTACTACCTTTATCATTCTCACTTTGTAATGAGAACAGTGGTCAGGAGTCCTTCACTGCATGGGACAGACTCTCAAAACTGGTTTGTGAAAGGGAGGTGCAATTTATTGGTTCATGTAACTAAAATGTCCAGGAGTAGTTCAGGCATAGTTGGATCCAGTAATCAAGGCTTGTCTCCTTGCTTTCTTTCCATCTCTTTGCCCTCATCTCCTCTGGGTGGGCTCCACCTCTGGGATGGCAAGATGGCCACCAGCAGCTTCCAGCCCACTGACAAACTGTCTGTCCCACTATGCAACAAGTGCCCCGGGGTTGAGTCCCATTGGCCCTGACTGGGTCACATGTCCATCCCTGAACCAACCACTGTGATCAGGGGGGTTGAGAAGCTCCGATTGATTAAATCTGTGTGAGCTTCAGCCCAACCTCATAGACGGAGGTGAAGGACGGAAGTGGTTTCTCCAGTGATGTAAGGGTGCTATCTAGGGGAATATATCCACTGTCCTTCTTGGCCTCAATTATTTTCTCACCTAGAAAACAGGGATGCCACCTGTGCAGCTGTGAGGGTCTGTGAAAGCTCTTGGCAAGTTCAGAAGTCTTCCAGAGGGCTCTTCCTCATTCCTCTTTCCTCCTTTTGGGATGTGACTCCAGTGACCACCCCCTTCCTCCTCTCCAGATCCACCGTTCAAAGTGCAACATGGGTCAAATAAAGTGGGGGCACAGAGCTAGGACATGGAGAGCACAAGGTGTGTAATTCACTGCTTATTTCTCTTGCCAGGCAAGAGAAAGACTCATTCATTCCTAAAAGTTTGAATTCTTTCAGTCATTTAACAATTTATTGAGCATCTCTTAAATGTCAGGCACTAGGGAGGCATCGATGGCACAAGAGTGAATAAGAGGGGCTACTCTTGTGCTGAGGGCCTTCAGTGAGGCAGATCAGGATTTAATTCTTGACTTTATCACTTGAGCCAATAAGTGGAATGGTCTAGAGCAGGTCACTTTATCCCTCTATCCTGTTTCCACAGGGATTAAAGGTCCCTTCCACCTCCCAGTGTTTATTGTGAGATTTAACTTAAACTTTATGAAACATTTTTTAAAGATTTATTTATTTATTTGAGAGAGAGAGAACATGAGGGGAGGAGCAGAGGGGAGAGGGACAAGCAGAGTCCATGAGAGCACAAAGCCAGGGGTGGGGCTCCATCCCAGGACCCTGAGATCATGACCTGAGCTGAAATCAAGAGTCAGATGCTCAACCGACTGAGCCACCCAGGCGCCCCAACTTTATGAAACATTTAATGCTTGGCCTGACACATAGTGCGTGCTCAGTAAACTGTGCCTAAAACAATAGGAGCCGGTGGTCACTGGGGTTAAGGATGACATTCTTCCCTCAACCACACTCATCTATCTGAAGGAAAACCATGATCTCTGAGGTCAAAATAAAATGTTTTTGAAGAAAATGTCAAAGTCAACAACAACCCCAAACAATAGCACTAACTAGGAAATATGACACTTCCTCTGGATTAAGGAATATTAAAAGTTTTTTCCAAAAGCTCTGTAGGGAAAAACACTTCTAAGATAGAAGGTCCTGTTGGTGGCCTCGGGGCAAGGGTGGACAACCCATTCTATCACCCCCACCCTTTCAGGCTCTTCTCACTTCCTCAGTAGACAGAATTTCCACAGGAATAAGTTCCCAGCTTACAAACAATAGAAGAGAAAGCATGGTGCCAAAGCTGTCAAACCACCCAAATTCATTTTCCTGCTTGGAAACAAAAAAACGTTGATTCATTCATGTATTTATACCCTCCAGTAGTTTGAGCCAGAAAGATCTGAGGGAATAAATGAGCTGGATTCTTTTATGCCCACCTAACTCAGCATGCTGAATGACACGGATGCGGAGAGTAAGACAAGGAGGGAACGGCTGCAGCAAACATCCTACTGCCCCGTGACAACACCTTCCCTTGTACATTCTCACCTGTCAAATACTCATCAAAACCATGACTCCGTTTTCAACTTTAAAAACCAAAAAGAAATCAGGGTGCCCAGGTGGCTCAGTTATTAAGTGTCTCCCATCGGCTCAGGTCACAATCCCGGCGTGCTGGGATTGAGACCCACAGGAGGCTCCCTGCTCAGCGTAGAGCCTGCTGCTCTTTCCCTCTGCCTTCCCCATTTGTGCCAGTGGTTTCTCTCTCTCAAATAAATAAATAAAATCTTAAAAAAAAAAAAAGAAAAGAAAAGAAAAAGGAATGAAGAAAGACCCTGTATTAGTTTGCTAGGGCTGCCAAAAACTGGGCCATTTAAACAACAGAAAGGTATTCCTCACAGCTCTGGAAGCTGGATGTCCAAGGTCAAGGTGTCAGCAGGGTTGTTTTCTTCTAAAGCCTCTATCCTTGGTCTTCCCTCTGTGTCTGTCTGTGTCCTAATCTCTTTTAATAATTTTTAAAATTTTTTATAAACATATAATGTATTATTAGCCCCAGGGGTACAGGTCTGTGAATTGCCAGGTTCTCTTTTTATGAGGGCACCATCATACTGGATTAGGGGTCACCCATATAGCCTCATTTAAAGGCCCTCTCTCCAAATACAGTTACATGAGGTATTAGGTTAGGACTTTAGTATATGAATTTGTGTGGGGGCGTTGGGGAGGGGAGGACACAATTTAGCTCATAACGGAACCCACTGTTTACTGGGGGTGGGAGGTAGAGCCACTGTTAGTGGATCTAAGAAAAAGCATCTGGCAATAATACCTACAAGGTGACAATTCCAAATAACATCTTTCAGAATTTCATTTTCATGGGTGACTTCAATGCCGGCTGTAGCTATGTCCCCAAGAAGGCCTGGAAGAACATCCGCTTGAGGACTGACACCAGGTTTGTCTGGCTGATAGGGGACCAAGAAGACACCACAGTCAAGGGGAGCACCAGCTGTGCATATGACAGGTAGGAGGCACCTGCCCGACGCAAGCTGGCCCACAGCATTTGATATGCCTCAGGAAAGGCAACCCACCTCAGTCCATTAGATTTCAGGCCCACCCATTAGGTACTTGTGCAATGTGCAACCTGCATCACCACGCCTAGGAGCCCTGAGCAGTGTAGCTTAGTGGTGGCTAGTGCTGGCCTCGCTTCAAATCCTGCCTCTACCACTTCATGTCTGTGACCAAGAGACTTAAGCTCTGTGTGTCTTTGCTTCCTGGCCTGTAAGACAGGGATTGTCGTGAAGCCTCATTCATGGAGCCATGAGGAGGAGTAGAGGAAGTAGTATGTGTCTTCTCACACAATGCCTGGCAGATGGTAGTGCTCCTCACACTCACTGGCTGTTAATTATTTCATCACAAAGACATACCAGAATTTAGTCACTCAAATCCCCCATCATCGAGCTTAGGTTATTGCCAAGAGTTTGCTAGCATAAGCACTGCTGAAACGGACGATCCACATGAGACCAGTAGAAGAAGGGTCTTTCCACTCTCAGAGCTTTTGCTATACGTTCCTAGACGCAAATACATACCTTTAAGTAACAGCATTCTCAGGGTGCCTGGCTGGCTCAGTCAGTGGAGCATGTGTCTCTTGATTTTGGGGTGAGTTCAAGCCCCCGTAGGCTGTAGTGCCTACATTAAAAAAAAAAAAAAAAAAGTACTTATAAAATCTCCCTGGGGATTTTCAGTTAGCTTTCACTTTTGCTCCTTAAATCAGGACATGTGGGAGGCACTCAAGTGTGAGAATGTTCCTGATCTTCTGTGGTTCCCAGAGCCTGGTGTGCCTCCAAGGAAGCATGAGATGGCTTCTGCCAGAAGACAGCTGTTCTCACTTCTCTAGTTTTGAGGTCAGGCTTTCACTTCCATCCCATGACCTCCTTTGTTCTTGGAGCTTTCAGGGCTGGTGTGTCCTTTGCAGAAGTCCCTACTCCAGCTCCCAAGAGTGGAAACAGCCCTAGCATTGGGGAAAGGCGAATGGAGGCAGGAAGTCACAGGAGGCTGGGCCACCCCCAACCTACTGCAACCCTGGTGCCTTCATTCCTCTTCTTACTTTGAGGGCTTGCCAGCTAAGCGGGTTGGAGATGGCCACTTGCCCACTCGCCTTGGGCAGGTCAAGGCCATTCTGCGGCCCCATTCTTCTCCAACAGGGGGAGGTGATCAAAAATAATGAAGCTGAAGAACAGTGCATCACCAGGAAAGATGCTCACAGTAGATTAGGAGGGGTGGGGGAACAGGTAAAAAAGGTGTTTACTAAAAGAACCTCGGGTTTAGACACATATATGCCAAAGGATGGCAGGATTACATGTGATTTTTTTTAAAGATTAATTTCTCATTTGTTGCTCTGGATTTTCTATATTTTCTGGACTGGCATATATATTTTATGTTTTTTAATTTTATTTGATTAATTTATTTATTTGTCAGAGAGAGAGTGCACAAGCAGTGGAAGCAGCAGGCAGAGGGAGAACCAGGCTCTCCTCTGAGCAAGGAGCCCAATGTGGGACTCAATCCCAGGATCTTGGGTTCATGACCTGAGCCGAAGGCAGATGTTTAACTGACTGAGCCACCCAGGTGTCCCTCTTTTATGTTTTATTTAAAGGAGTTATAAATTTCTGGGGCGCCTGGCTGGCTCAGTCAGCAGGACATGCAACTCTTGATCTTGGGATGTCTGTTCGAGCCCCACGTTGGGCATGGAGCCTACTTTAAAAATGAAGAAAATTTAAAAAATTAAAGGGATGTACATTTCTAATTAGGGGAGTAGGATGAAATGGTCTCAATTCAAGTCTTTATTCTGTGTTCAAGTATTGACTGAACACCTCCCCTGAGCCGTGCGCTCCTGAACATGAAAGCTGCCAAGAGCTGGCTGCGTGAGGCGCAGCCTCAGGAGAGCCTCCGACGATCAGCTGACCTGCCCACACATGTCCCCAGAAGCCAGAAACAGAGGCACCTTAACTACGTTGCTCTTGACTCTCTGGGTCTGAAGGATGGCTTGAAGGAATCGCCAAGCGAACGGGAAGAGTTTACTTGTGGATTAAGCTCAGAGTTAACAATGGTGCGTTTGGTAGCAAACACAGGAAACCAAATCAGTCAGTAGGAATTAGGAAAAGCTCAGTGGATGGTCATGACCTGGCAGTTGACTCACCTTGTCCTTCCTCAGTCAGTCAGTGGGGGCCATGTAGGCCCCAAATGTATCACTCCACGTGGGGTATATTTGAATCCATCTTTCCAAAACTCACTTAACTACCATGTTTCCAGTTTTTGCTGTTGTTAAAAAGCAACTGTACTATGGTTTTTCCCTGTATTTGTCTTTAAATTTATTCATTTGTAATGAAATAAATTAATTTTTAAAGGAAATTTCAGGGGTGCCTGGGTGGCTCAGTGGTTAAGTGTCTGCCTTCAGCTCAGGTCATGATCCCAGGGTCCTGGGATCGAGCCTCATGTTGGGCTCCTTGCTCAGCAGGAAGCCTGCTTCTCCCTCTCTCACTCCCCCTGCTTGTGTTCCCTCTCTCGCTGTGTGTGTGTGTCTCTCTCTCTCTCTCTCTCTGACAAATAAATAAATAATAAATAAATAAAGGAAATTTCATACTAAGGTAAGAAAATAGCATTATTTGTCATAAATCGAAAATAAATAAAAACACAAGCCCAGTGAAACTGAACAATGTTAAATTCTGCCTTAATTATCTTGCTTGCAGAGTGCTTGGTGATTACAGCCTGCTCTGTCTTGGTTAAAATGGGAGCTTAGAGTGTTATTAAAGATAAGCCAGGGACACCTGGGTGGCTCAATGGACTAACCGTCTACCTTCAGCTCAGGTCATGATCTCAGGATCCTGGGATCGAGCTCTACGTCGGGTTCCCTCCCCACTGAGCAGGGAGCCTGCTTCTCCCTTTCCCTCTGCCCTCCACACCCCCACCCCATGTGTGCTCCCAATCTCTCTCTCTAATAAATAATTAAAATATTTTTTAAAAAGATAAGCCAGCACCTTTCTTCACAACCGAATCAGGAAAAGTGAAAAATAATTGCAAAGGGAACAACATTCTCAGTATGTAAGTCATTGATCCATGATGTGGTGTCCATGCTTCATACAAAATCTTTTCTTCCACCTACAGGGCTACTGCCCACACAGGGAAACACTGTGTGCTGGTGCCCACAGAGCCCCAGTAGGGGATGAGCCAATTTCCCCAATCTTAGGCACTGTCCTAAGGGAGACAAAACCAGGCCTGGAATTTGAACACCACATGAAAGAGCCAGGCTGCTCAGTCAATTCCAGAGGTCAAACAGGAAACTTGGTTTGTTTCACAAATCAACAAGGTGGATTAATAGGACTGTCTTCTCCCCCTTTTCTCCAGGATCGTGCTTAGAGGACAAGAGATCGTCAACTCTGTTGTTCTCAAATCAAACAGCACCTTTAACTTCCAGAAAGCTTATGGGTTGACCGAGGAGGAGGTACAGCTGCCATCTTTGTCTTTCTGTACCACTGTCCTGGGAGATGGGTTGGTGTCACCCTTTGAGGCCACCACTGGAGATACAACATAGGGCCATTGGACCCCGAGTCTCAAAGTCTATGATTCATTCTGTGGCTTGAAGACCTACCTAAATTTCTGGTTGAGCTGGTCCAAGGATGACACACACTAGTGTGTGTTCTACTGCATGACTTTAGGTGTTTTATCTTCCCACCTTAAGCCTGAATTTGTTCACTAAAATGACAGTCTCTGAATTCCCAAATTCATCTCCCTTTTCTCTTTATAGGCTTTGGAGGTCAGCGACCACTTTCCAGTTGAATTTAAACTACAGTCTTCAAGGGCCTTCACCAACAGCAAGAAATCTATCTCTCCGAAGAAGAAAAAGGTCCGACGCTCCTAGATACAAAGGAGCCATTGTACTAACCATTTCTTGTCTCTAAATAAAACAGCTCTAAGATGCATGGGCTGCTGCCTGCACTCAGGAAACAAGACTGGTCCAACTGCTTTCATTTTCAACGTGAATTTAATCTGCCTTGAATTGGGGGTGCCTCGGTGGCTCAGGCAGTTAAGCATCTGCCTTCAGCTCAGGTTATGATCCTGGGGTCCTCGGGTCCTGGGGTTGGCAGGGAGCCTGCTTCTCCCTTTCCCTTTGCCCCTCCCCCTCTTGTGTTTTCTCTCTCTCTCTCTCTCAAATAAATAAATAAAATAAAAATAAATAAAAATCTTTAAAAATTTTTGTCAAGTTGGGAGGAGAGTCTTCTATTATCCTACTTGGGCTATACCTTCCCTGAATTACCCAAAAGGAAACTGGGGGCTTTTGCAGTCCTAAAGGATAGTCTTCATGTCCCAAGGAGAGCCCCATCAGCTGTCACTGCCTCTGCTCAGCCCTGCCATGAAAGAGGCTGCCGGAGGAGGAAGAACGTTGGCTTTCAGTCATGGAGTGGATCCTAGTCCACAGGAAATGTCCAGGAAGGCCAAGGCCTCCATTGCACCCCATGATTTGGGGCCCTTCACTCTCTGAGGAATCTACCTCCTCTTGTCTGAGGTCAGGATGGTGATCATGTCTCACAGGGATCAAGAAGGAAGGTTATCCCATCTGGTCTCCCTGCCTCTAAATTGTCCTCCAACTCAGCCAGCCCAGTACCTACCAGTGCCGTCCTTTGAAATTCCATTCTGACCATAGTCCACCTGCACTCCCGTTCCTGCTTCTAAATCCCTCAGACACTCCCATCACCCACCTGGAGAGAACCCAGAGGTTTTGGCTGCCTACAAGCGTCTGTATTTTGTGGGGTATCATGTCAGCCTTGCCTTTGTCCCACCTTGCACTTTGTGCCCCACGGGACTGCCCCTTCCCTGCATGTTCCAAGCCTCCCTCCTCCTAGGCTTTGAGGAGGCTAGCTGGCTGGCAGAGACTCAAGGATTTTGTTATCATTCTGCAACCAAAGAACTGCAGAGGAGTCCTGCCGAGAAGCACCATTTTACCTGTATCCATGGTGACCATTTTTGTTTGTTTGGCTTTGCTTTCTCTTGTATTGTTTCTTTTGTTCAAATAGTACCTGGGCATGGCTAAATATGCAGGCATTCCAAAGCATAAGCAGTGATAAGGATTGCCGCCCCCGGGACCCCACCCCCTAGCTTCCTGTGTCAGAACCAACTCCTCTTACCAGCTTATGCATTCTTTCAAGAAAATCTATGAATAAATCAGCACCGTAAGTGACTCCCCAAAATAGAGCATTAGCATCCTATAAGCAGGGTCCCACCCCCTGATTATTTTCCTTAATATATCAGGGACGATGTGACTTTTGATATAAGAAAGAAACCATGAGCCTGATTTTTAAAATTTGGTTGCATCTGAGCAAGGGAATAAAATCAAAAGGGGTTGGCTTAAATGGGAAAATTGTTTCTCCCCAAAAACCCAATGAACCTCAGAGCTCTTGTTGGAATTGGGGGTGGGGGCAGGTGGCAAGGCTATAAAGCTTCTGTCATCCCTTCTGAACAGGGCTCACTGGCCCAGGAAAACTTCCAGTTTCTAAGGTCCAAAATGGTCAAGGATTCCCAAAGGAGCATATTTGGAGGAGAGGATCATGCTTTCGCCTGAAAGGCCAGCAGCACAGTGGGACAAGAGCCCTGTGCTTGGTGGGGAAAAGTTGGCCGGACACTAAGTGAGCTTGTCAATGGCTCTGAGCTGGTCTCTGCTACCCTGCGGCCTCCTTGGTGACAAGACATCCCTCTATCCCTGCGTTGAAGCAGCTTCCCAGAGCCACAGGCCCTGCCAGATCCCATTCCGGGCAAACTGCCCGACAAGAAGATACGAAGTGAGGCTGGAGTGAGGCTGCTTCTTTCTGGTCACAAACTAACAGAGCCACAGACATGCTCCCATCCCTCTGGGTCACCTGGTCTGCCTGGGGCAAGGAACCCTTGCACCTTTTTGGGGAAGGAGGGTATACCTTGGTTGTGTGTATAACCTTTCAGCTTTGGCTTTGTCCAGAGGGTTTGAAACTTGTGTGCACCAGAATCCCAGAGGACCTGTTATGCTGATCCCAGGCCCCAGGCTCCCAGAGTCCGTCTCAGAAGCTTGGAGTGGGGGCAGGGTGGGAGCCTGCATTTTTTAAAAAAATTTATTTATTTATTTATTATATAGAGAGAGCGTGCATGCACACGAGCAGGGGTGGAGGACAGGGAGAAAGGGACAATCAGACTCCCCACTGAGCAGGGATTCCAACACAGGACTCGATCCCAGGACCCTGAGATCATGACCTGAGCTAAGGCAGACGCTCAACCAACCGAGCCATCCAGGTGCCTCAGGAAATGCCTTTTCAACAAGCTCCCAGGTGACCTGAGGATGAGACTTTTTTTTCATTCTTTATCGAGGGACCAGATCTTGAACTCACTCTCCCAGCTCTGCTTTGGGACAAGAAGTGTAGCGTGATGCAGGACTCTGGCTCACTTTGGAGTCATACTCTGCACCACCTTGGAGCTCTGGGATGCTGAGCCGCCCACTTGCCCTCAGTTCCCTTATGTCTAAAATGAGGGTAATGAGAGAACCAACCTCAGAGATGAAGTTTAAGTAATGAATGTAAAATACCAACTACGTGCCTCACACTTAGTAAGCCCTCCACAATGGAGGCTGTACTTTTAATAATAGGACTTGCTCCATCAAAGGATGGCCCACCTGCAGCCTTTGGGTACACAGGTCTCTCATTTCACTGCTTTGAATTGTTGCCATATGAGGAATCAGACTAAGGTTCCATTGTTTTATCTTCGACCACAAAAAGCATTTCGGCAAGTGAGACTTGAGACATGGAGATGCGTCTCCATCCAGGCCCTGTTATTATCGCTTTCTATTCAACACCCTTTCCTGCCGCAAACACAGAGACCCCTCTTTGCTGTTCTGTGTTAGTGTTTAGTATTCCTCGTCCTGTCCCTGCTGGGATGGGAGACCGGGGTGGGGAGTACAGGGAGCTTCTCTAATTCAGCAGCCCTGGCTCCTATCTTTCCCTTGGATTGGAGAAGGCAAGTATAAAGGACAGTTGTCAAACCAGGAAAGGAAAAGGTGACAGACTAGAGGCCACATCTGTCTTCCCTCCTGGAGGGAGCAAAGGGGCCTGGTCAAGGCAGGTGTGCAGGTGAGAGACGTTTCCACCTGCATCGGCTGCCGAGTCTCCCCATTAAGGCATCCACCCCATGGTCCTGAGGACAGAGGCACGGTGAGGAGCCCGCATTCCCATGTCGCTTACTCACAGGTCGCATCTGGGAGAAGGAACGGGTAACCAAGGTCCACGGAACTCGGGCACCAGCGGTTTCAAGCTTCAGGATTCAGGAAAGCTACTGAATTCGATAAAACTGAGGGAATCTCGAGAAAGCAAGGAGCAGTGCAGGAAGCATTGCGCACGTATACAAACGCGCGCACGCTCGCATGAACGCGCGCGCTCACATTCACACACGCAGACGCACGCACGCACGCACACGCCTCTTCTGAGAAAATAGTCTGGGAAACAGTACGTACCCTCAATGGACTGGAACAACAGAACATTTTCTAGCCAGATGGTCGCTTGGTTCCCAGAGTCTCCACGTAGCTGAGACTGAGCTGCAGACAAATATCAGGCCTCATGGGGCCAAGGGCCAAGGGCTTGACCTGCAGACAAATATCAGGCCTCATGGGGCCATAGTCCAAGCCATGGACTCTCCTTGGGTGGCATCAGCGGCCCCTGCACTGGTCCTACCACTCCCACCCTAGCCCCCTACAATCTGGTCTCCTCCCAACAACCAGGGTATACTTACTAAAATGCAAATCTCCTGCTGTTGCCTCCCTGCTAAAACCCTCAATGGCTCCCCATTTCTCTTCTGGGTAAAGACCCCAGTCCTTTTCTTCGAAGCCCTGTATTTCTTGGCCTTCACTTACTTCTCCAACTCCACTTTCAACCATTATACATTCTAGCCACAACGTGTAGTTCTTCCGTTCTTCATGCTCTGCCCAGCTTCTGGGCTTTGCACTGGCACCCCTACTCCCATTACCCCTTTTCCCCATCACCCCCATCCGCTTAGCTAATTTCTTCTCATTCCTCAAAACTCAGCTTAAATCTCACTCAGTCAGGGAGGCCTTTTCTCACTAGCTTCCCCCAGTCTTTCTAGGACCCTCCACTACATCTTCCCACAGTGCTCTTCATGTCCCTTTCCTAACCCTCATTACCCGTACAGCTAGTTGTTCAGTGTCTGCCCCCACTCCCAATCGTCAGCCTCTATGATGGCAAAGCTGTGTCTTAGTCACTACTCACAGTTTTTGTGGAGTTAATGAAACACCGGGGCACTACTGTGCCATCTTGGAGAAGAAGGTAAAAGCCTTTTCATAGTCGTCCTTTAAAGCAATTTTTTTTTTTTTTTTTTTTTGGAGCGAGAAGTAGTAGACATTGGGTAGTAGAATTGTTGTAATTTTTCTTTTAGAAATGCTTCCGGATGGAAACACCTAACTTACAAAGTTAATGATTTCTGCTGGTACAAATTGGGGATTAAAAAATTGCAGTGCTGGGACACTTGGGTGGCTCAGTCATTAAGTGTCTGTATTCTGCTTGGGTCATGATCTCAGGGCCCTGGGACTGAGTCCCACATCAGGCTCCCTGCTCATTGGAGAGTCCGTTTCTTCCTCTACCCCAGCCTGCTTCCCCCAACTCATGCTCTCTCTCTTTCTCTCTCTCTGTCATAACTAAATTAAATTAAATTAAAAGCCCCAAACCAAAACAATACAAAGAAAACTGATGTGCTTTCTAGTGTATTCAAGTTTCTCAAAGAATATCTGAAGGATATAAAATGGGATGGCACCAGGGATACAAGAACTAAAATTCAGCTAAACCTCACCTTGAACTTGACCTCCACCCTCCTATCCCCGGACTTTTTCACATACTATTCCCTTGGCCTAAAGCACCCCTCCCCTCTTCTCCCCTCTTCCTTGCAAACATGATGTTCCTGTCTCCATAGGCTTGAGGCTTTCATAGCCTTCAAAACTCCATGCAAATCTCCCTTTCTTTAAGATGAATGCCACATGCAGACACACACACACACACACACACACACACACTCACACACCTTTCCCAAGTA